GATCTACCGGCAGCCGGCTCCCCCCCCCCCGCCTGTCGCGCCGCTAATCAGCGGCTCGGAGACAGCAGAGTAACCTGCATCCTACAGGAGAGCAGTCCGCATCCATACGGCATCCTGCCAGCCGAGAACACACCGTGTGCTGGGTCCGATCTCCCCGAGACACCCGTCACCTCCCACAGAGAGCTGTGTAGTCAGGACCAATCTGATCAATCAATGCATCAAACTGATCGATATACCTGTCCTCCAGGAAACTTTTCACAAGTGTATGGAGGGCGGAGAGGGGGTGGGCGCTACATCTGCTTTGCTTCGTTAAAAAGTACGCTTTTATAGTTTTACATACATTTCCACAGTATCTATATTGTTAAACGTTGTGTCTTAGGGTGAGGGTTGTGACTTTGTCCTAAACCCTAGTCCGAGCCGGGGCTCTGTGTTACCGTGTTTACCGCCACCTGCCGGTCAGGATGTTCATAGGCTCAGCAGGCAACCTGACTCAGTGCACCCTACAAACCCCAGTCTCTGAGAAACATCTTCAGATACTGTTGCACATAAATCACTGCATGGTCTGGGTCTTGATACATGTGAGACCTCCTGGCACAGTGCGGACCACGCAGACCTTCCAGGCTGGTTCTGGGTCAAACAAACTGCCAGGAGAGCTCAGAAGGTGCTGACTACTGTCAAACCCAAGATAAAGACCTGTTGCTTTTGTGGCTGGATTACCAAAGGAACCTACTGAGCCCAGGGGCTGCAGGGGGTTTGCGACCACAAACAGACTCAAAATGCCCACACGGTTAAAAGACGACCACAGAGAGACACTAAACCATCCCAAAAACTCAAAACAGCAACAGAGAGACAAAAACTAGCCATGAAGAGACAGGACTGTCAAGATGAGATGCAGAAAATATCCACAAAGAGACAGAGCAGCTGCAAAGACACTAAAATAATCAATGGTCCGGTATGGAAAGGATGAGGGTTTTTTTTTACCCATCCGTACCGCGAGGTCCATGGTTGCTTCTAGTTAAACGTGATTTACATGGTCCAATCTACAATTTTAAATTTCTGTACAACAGACCAGCTTGAACTTGATTCAGCCTGCTTCTCCAAATGTAACCTTAAAAGGCCTTAATGAACAAATCAAGATGACTTTAAGGTTGTTTTTTTTACTTTCCTCTTAATTTCCACATGAATGTGAAATGTTTGACAAATCCATGAATGATGAGTTTAAGGTGGTATTAAGATTAAGGGGTTTGGGGTTATGTTATGGCTCTGTATTTTCAGATGCTACTTAATGAGACTGAAATAAAGACTGGAACATATTAGGGGATTTTAATGGGTTTTCTGTGTGGATTAGAGGATTAGGGTTACAGAGACAATAAGCCAGATTCCAGATTCGCACAAAAAGGAGTGAATCGCACTGGGAAAAGATGGGGTTGCTGCACACATTTTAAAGTCAAATTTAGGACCTTTTAAAGAGCTAAACACAGACAAGAATAATACCACAGCAGAACAAATGCACATTAACACACCTGTAGCTTAGGTAAACATTTTTCATTTAAATGATAAAATGTCAGCCATATGATCGCATAGCACATACAGTGCCTTGCGAAAGTATTCGGCCCCCTTGAACTTTGCGACCTTTTGCCACATTTCAGGCTTCAAACATAAAGATATAAAACTGTAATTTGTTGTGAAGAATCAACAACAAGTGGGACACAATCATGAAGTGGAACGAAATTTATTGGATATGTCAAACTTTTTTAACAAATAAAAAACTGAAAAATTGGCCGTGCAAAATTATTCAGCCCCCTTAAGTTAATACTTTGTAGCGCCACCTTTTGCTCCGATTACAGCTGTAAGTCGCTTGGGGTATGTCTCTATCAGTTTTGCACATCGAGAGACGGAAATTTTTGCCCATTCCTCCTTGCAAAACAGCTCAAGCTCAGTGAGGTTGGATGGAGAGCATTTGTGAACAGCAGTTTTCAGTTCTTTCCACAGATTCTCGATTGGATTCAGGTCTGGACTTTGACTTGGCCATTCTAACACCTGGATATGTTTATTTGTGAACCATTCCATTGTAGATTTTGCTTTATGTTTTGGATCATTGTCTTGTTGGAAGACAAATCTCCGTCCCAGTCTCAGGTCTTTTGCAGACTCCATCAGGTTTCCTTCCAGAATGGTCCTGTATTTGGCTCCATCCATCTTCCCATCAATTTTAACCATCTTCCCTGCCCCTGCTGAAGAAAAGCAGGCCCAAACCACGATGCTGCCACCACCATGTTTGACAGTGGGGATGGTGTGTTCAGGGTGATGAGCTGTGTTGCTTTTACGCCAAACATAACGTTTTGCATTGTTGCCAAAAAGTTCGATTTTGGTTTCATCTGACCAGAGCACCTTCTTCCACATGTTTGGTGCGTCTCCCAGGTGGCTTGTGGCAAACTTTAAACGACACTTTTTATGGATATCTTTAAGAAATGGCTTTCTTCTTGCCACTCTTCCATAAAGGCCAGATTTGTGCAGTATACGACTGATTGTTGTCCTATGGACAGAGTCTCCCACCTCAGCTGTAGATCTCTGCAGTTCATCCAGAGTGATCATGGGCCTCTTGGCTGCATCTCTGATCAGTCTTCTCCTTGTATGAGCTGAAAGTTTAGAGGGACGGCCAGGTCTTGGTAGATTTGCAGTGGTCTGATACTCCTTCCATTTCAATATTATCGCTTGCACAGTGCTCCTTGGGATGTTTAAAGCTTGGGAAATCTTTTTGTATCCAAATCCGGCTTTAAACTTCTCCACAACAGTATCTCGGACCTGCCTGGTGTGTTCCTTGTTCTTCATGATGCTCTCTGCGCTTTAAACAGACCTCTGAGACTATCACAGTGCAGGTGCATTTATACGGAGACTTGATTACACACAGGTGGATTCTATTTATCATCATTAGTCATTTAGGTCAACATTGGATCATTCAGAGATCCTCACTGAACTTCTGGAGAGAGTTTGCTGCACTGAAAGTAAAGGGGCTGAATAATTTTGCACGCCCAATTATTCAGTTTTTTATTTGTTAAAAAAGTTTGAAATATCCAATAAATTTTGTTCCACTTCATGATTGTGTCCCACTTGTTGTTGATTCTTCACAAAAAATTACAGTTTTATATCTTTATGTTTGAAGCCTGAAATGTGGCAAAAGGTCGCAAAGTTCAAGGGGGCCGAATACTTTCGCAAGGCACTGTATATACACACCATACATGGGATTTATGCTTTAAAGCAAAAGCCTAATTAGATGACAATTACTTGAGTAAATGTAGCTACCATGGGTGACCACAGAATCATTTATAATGGGGAGAACAGCATGTGTGGTTTTGGTAACCTGCAGATCAACAGACAAGTGTAATCAAACATTTTTATGAACATCTAGTTATATACATTCGGTTACCACTTCAGTAGGTCCACCAAACAAAAATGAAAACAGTGTAATGCAACAGTTCCACAGAGAATCAGTAAAATGTCCATCGTTTGTTGAAACTTAGGGAAGAGGGTTAGGGCCACTGTACAACATTTATTTGAATTCAGAGTTCAAAGTGCACCACACACTGGCAGCAAACTGATGCACGCCAACATGGTTTAACGCGCGCCAACGCTTCAGGGTATTCTATTGTCCTATTTTCCCAGTGTTGACGCACATCAGAAGCATAAAATACAGAATTTGTGCTGCTCCTGGTGTGTGTTATGAGACATGATGCAACACTCCATGCAGTGCCCTTAAAAAAAAGTCAGAATTCAAATAAATTTTGCACAGTGGTCTTAATCCTTTTTGTGAACATTTTTAGGCCGTGGTTTGTTTCTCGGAAACCTGTGATGATATAACTAGGGCGAGCAACATTGTTGCACTCTTGTTTTGTGATATTTTATGATGAAAATAGAGGTACATGACGTGGAAGGTGGGTGACTGCGTGCAAGTATTATTTAGATATATTTTTAATCACCGCTGGGAAGGGCGCTTCCAATTTTGTTGTATTTTAATACAATGGCAATAAAGGCTTCTTATCTTAGGTGGCGCACCGCTAATTTCTTAGTCTGGAAAGATAGTTTAACATATAAAAAGTCATTCATAGTGTCAGAACTGCATATTATTCATTACTGATAGAGGAAAATAAGAACAAGCCCACGTTTCTTTTCAGCACTGTAGCCAGGCTGACAAAGAGCCACAGTGCTGTTGAGCTTAACATTCCATTAGATCTCAGTAGCAATGACTTCATGAGCTTCTTTACAAATAAAATCACAACTATTAGAGAAAAAATTGGTCAGACCATTCCCACAGCTCTCAGGGATGTGCCATCTACTACAATGGCTTTAGAAACATACTGTTTGCAAAATTAATTATGGTTTTCCAATCTCTGCACTCTATATGGTTTAAACATGTTATTATGCCTGCTGTGTAACTGCTCCTGCACATCATCAAAATTTTGATTAAAACACAAATTATCAGTAGGTGCATGTTTTCTGACACATGTAGGTCTATTTGTGCACCGAGTAGAAATAATGTAGTAAATAGATGAAGTACAAAATTCTTTTGTTTTCCAAACTCTGTAGACCCATGATGTGACTGTGAATGGTGAAAAGCCACAGACACAAATCACAAGCAAATGGGAGTTTATCCTCAGATGTTTATTGATGATGTTGGTTCCCCCTAGCTCTGGGTACGGCTCAGTCCCAGCCAAACCAACAGAAAAGCACATAGTGACTTCACAAGCTGATGTCTCTTACCTCAGGTCATATTTCACAATATAACAACTTCAAAAAATTTAAACAAGGACCTTCAGTCAATAGAAAACATATTTTCCCTTTAACAAGTTTTATTCTGTCTCCTTGTCACACAAACGCTAAATAAATAATAATACACATTAAACATCAGATCGCACATTTCACCAACCGAATGAGTCCTGATAGGCCAGAATCAATATAGCCAATACAGTAATACACAAACAGATTGCATTCACCAAAGAAAACACAAATTAAAGATGTCACAGTGATGGCCTAGCATCTCAACTGAGGAAAATACTTAATCACAAGATCCTGATCTCAGAATAAACACTTCATAATTATGAAATCTTTTCATGTTTATGAGGAAACGTCTTCATTTTTCTCTGGTGAATGCAACATGCTTCCAGTTCCAGACATTTTAAACTTAGAGGAGCAGTCCGGCATTTTGTGAAACCTTGACAGATAAGGTGTGTTATATTGATAGTAGAGTTTCAAGCTGGGCAAGCCGTTTACAGTCTATGTGCTAAGCTAGGCTAACCATGGACACAGATGATGCTGATATCAATCTGACTGCAGAAGACAAATAACAAAACTGAGCTGAATGTCAGACTGCTCCTTTAAAGTATATATTCACACACTGATTCAGATATCAAGAATGAATTGTCTTTAGGTCAGTTTCAGATGTTGATCATTTTATGAGTGCCTGGTTAACATGATGTTTAGCCACCATGCTAGCTAGAAGTCAGCAAACAAACATACATAAATAAAATTCTATTTAAGAATGAAATATTTAGTGGTTAAAGCAGCTGTCCCTCTCTTGGTTCCCTCCATGCTAGTAGTTAGCTCTCTGAAGCTCTCTTCAACCCTGAAGTCCCAAATTGTTTTTGACTTGTGTGAACAAGATAACATTGATTAATTTTCTTAGTTTTTCTGAGTCATTTTCTGGTGTGACTGAGGACTAATGGCTCAAAAATGTTATGCTAAATGCTAATTAGCTAATATACCCAAGTTAGTATGAGGGGTGAACTTTTTTTTTTCTGAAGCCAGCAGCAGCAAACTAGCAACATATTTCTAGCACAAACGTGCACAAAATGCTAGCAGCATGCTCGTTTGTTGTGCACGTTTCAGCTTCAAGCTAACATTAGCAAACTACAGCTCATTGGCTTTGAACATGACCTGAAAATTAGAGCTGGAGTGAAATATGCTCTCTTATTTTGTCTGGGAAGATTGTAAGGCTCTTCCAAACGTTCTTATTTGATTATTTAGTTGTATAAAATTGTGAATAAATGACAGCTCTGCCTGGTTAATGGAGTTATTACAGCCTCTGTAGCCATGCATGCTTGACAGAAAATATCTAAATATTATATCTATAGCCTACACAAACCAGAACTGGAACACCCTGACATTTTAAGAATCTTCTCTTCTGTCCCATCCAGAGTGAACATGTAAATCAGAAAGTTTTTTTCCTCTCCTGATGGAGCTAGGCTAACAGTTTCCCCCTGCTTCTAATCTAAGCTAGGCTACACACGGAGATGAAACGGTTATAAATCATTTGACCTTAGAAGACAGACAGAGCATCAGAGGGTTTAGTAAATGTTGGAATGCTCCTTTAATACTATATCATATTGGGTCATACAGGGAGGAGTGTTGATGGTGATGATATAAATAATTAATTTGCCATAAATGTCATGTTCAGATGGTCTGGAGATGTCCCTATTCATTAATAAGACTAAACAGAGTAAATGTCCACTGACCAACAATACAAACAGCTTTCATCACAAAATCAACTCCCTGTGATTTTATTACACCACATTACAAAATGTTCACTACTCATTGATGATGTTTTCAGTCACTTTAAAACACCAGTGCCTTAAAATTCCCCAAGTAACCCTTGTTATTAACACATCTTAATAGAAATGTGTTTGATAACCAGAGAAATAATTTCTTGATTATGCTAAAAACCTAAACCTCATAGACCCCATGTAATTTCATCAGGGACACGGCGTTTCCTTTAACTGTGAAGTTATTTGTTCTGCATGGATTAAAGGCTTTTCATGGAGTGAAAACCATTTACAAAAATAACATAACAGGTAAAACATTATTGTTAACTCCAGTTTAAGTAAAGGAGAAATTAATATAACATTTTTAGGGGTTATTACTGGATTAACTTCAAAGTTTTACAGATGTTTTATACCTTAAAACCCCTTAGAATTGATGCCTGCTATCCCTGATAAATAACGTTCTTTTATGGAATGTTTTAGGATTTGTTTTTTAAAGTTTATCCCTTACAAATCCCTTAAATTGTGTAGAAATACCTTTGAAATATATTTACTGCATCAACATTTAGGCCAAAAATTGAGGATTCCATTTCAAATTAAGTAAAGTTTCAAAGTGAGTCTGGAGGATGTTGTGAATTTGGAAAGTATTTAGTGCGTTTATCTTTTATTTAAAATAGTAAAGAAGAAAAAACTGAAATGTAACAGCAAGGCAGTCACCTGTAATATCATCTTTTATCACATTCAGAGCACTTGATTAAACTTTTCAGCTTCACCTTCTATCAACTTCCACAGAGTGATAAGCTGATTTTTGATTGATTGTAACAGCAGTTTTTGAGTTTAATTGATTATAAAACTATAAACTTTGACGGGTCATCCATCACATGCATATATTGCAGGTATTGATTAGCTTTATTGTTATCCTAACAGAAGTTTCTCAGGGATCAATCTTGGGCCTTCTGTTGTTCTACATTCCTGTTATTTGTGACAATAAAACTCCCTGGGACTCGTAGTGAACTTCTCCTCTAAAGCTGTTAGAAAAAAAAAGGTCAAGTATTGTGAGTTTTTTAAAGAAAACTCAAGCTTTAACAACATGAGCCTTGTGGACATAAAGACATAAACAGAGTTTGATTCTGTTGCAATGAAAGCAGGTTAATGAAGACCTGTACAGAAACCCACGCAGGTGACAGGTGTGTACAGTCTGAACAGAGACAGACTTCAGGAAGTACAGGGGTTACTGTTTTATACAGATACATACAGGAAATACAGAGCTGGCTTTGGAAAGATGTGAGTCTGAGGAATCTGAAGAGAAGGAAAAGTCATACTGGAACTCTGAAAACACGTGAAACCGATCTAAGACCAATTTAGGAACTGTTGCTCCAGTACTCGCCAGATATGCATGAAAGTGAAATCTGTGTCAAACTCACAGTTTTTTTAGGAATATTCACCACTTTATATTGTCAAAGTCTGGAGAAAAGCTCCTTCCAGACCTTACCCACATTTTTGCAATCATTTAATATGTTTAGGAATTACTGATGAAGTGTAGGTACACTATATTAGAGCCCTGCAAAAAACAGATGCATATTGAAATTTGATATTTAAATTCACAGGAAATGTATCTGTTGGGTCTTTGAATGAGGTTTGTGGATTTGCCTGGTTGATTATCACATAGTGTCAGATATTTGATGCTTCATAACGAACATTCATAACATACAAAAGCGCACTGTATTCAGTGTAAAATGTAAAAATATACTGCTGTGATTTCACTGTATGAGCTTAGTGCCTGTGGAAGCGGCTCAGGACTGTGTGTCACTGTGTTTTCTGGAGAGTTTCTTCACAGGTTTACAAATCCTACATAGCCATAAAGCTGATTTATGAACATGATTTCACAAAGGTCATAACCTGATTCTTTTTTTATTTCAGCCCACAGTCTTGCATCCCAAATTGAATTAAAGATTTGAGTGGCCAAACTGGACCCATGCAGAGCTACAATATACTGTACATGCTAAAGACGATGGTAAAGCAGTTTCCTTCACATTAGGTGAGTACTGATGGGCTTGGTGCTTTTTTTGTGCTGGGCATTTAGTCAGAGCTGATGGCTGAGAATCAGAGTAGTGACAGATCTGTTAACATATGAAAATGAACTACTGACTCTGTTATCCTGCTTTTCTTTATCTTTTTTTTGTGCGTCTGTGCGGGGAGCGGCGATGGACTAATGTTAAATGCTGACATCCAGATGACCTCTGGCCTGTGTGCGTTTTCCTTCTCTGTAAACCCCTCACTGCTACAGCCCACCTGGGTCTGCATGCTGGAATGCTGGGTTTCTATGGTAACACTGTTGGGCAGAATAATACAGTCTATTTACAGTGAAGACTGTGAACCGAGGCTGGCTTCATTACTTTATTCCTATTGGGCAGCAGCAGGTTACTCACTGAGTGACTGACTCCACCCACTGGCACCAGTCTGACCTCTGCATGTGGGCGGGGCTTGCGTCAGTTGGCAGCAGCCTCGCGCTGGTCTTTGTGGCTGTCAGTCAGAGAGCATGTAAACAAAGGACATGGGGAAGACGCCTTTCCTCTCTGGCTGCCCTTCAATGTGTCCGATCTGAGAAACAGACAGATACCAGATTATAGAATAATAAAATATTACACCTATCATATCAGACAGGCCACATTACATAAAATTTAATTAAACCCCAGTATTTTCTCATTCACTCCACCACACATCAGTTTGAGACATATATGTTGCCCCTGAAGTCCAGAATTGTTTAAAGCCTTGTATGCAAACTACAGGCTCCAGTTCGGCTGGGTGCCAACTCTGGTCTTGTTTCTCAAGCGTGAGCTGAGCTGGGAGAAGGACCAGGCTGACATCAGCAACCCTTTTACACCTTGGCTGTTTACAGTGATGAAGCTGAGTGAATCCAGCACAATTTGGCCTATGGCTACGTGCGCAGGTTCTCAGGCTACTTGTCAACAAGATAACAAATGGAGACAACAAGAACGGTGATTGGCTACTTGTGTTTTCCCCTCCATGTTTCTGGTGGTGGTGAGTTTGATGAGAACAAAGGGAAAGAAAGACTCAGTAGTTTTCCCCCTTCCTGGATCTAACTGCAGCTCACTGATGTTCTGTATCACAAATCAGTAAGAGGTATGATACGGGCTGATCATTCAATACCTGTGATAGCAGGTGATGGCCTGCACTGCAGGTACCTGCGGCAGGACTCCCGTTAGCCTTTCAAGTATAAATCCAGACACAGTGGTAGTGATGAAGGTGGTGCTGACTGATACCTACCCACCACTCTTGGTCCTCCTCTCCTGTGACGATGATGACTTCTCCCTCAGCAAAGGTCAGTTCGTCATCGTTATCGGCCTGACAGTCATAGATGGTTTTCACCCGCCGGACTTTATTCTTCACCTGGAGAACAGAGAGAAAACAGTGTCCCTCACCTTCTGTCTATAAACTGTGACAACAAAAGTATGTGAAAATGAAGACCCTCACAGAGTTGATCTTCCTGGGCAGAGGCACCGGCGTCTCCACAGCTCCGGGCAGCGACTCGTCATCATCTTCAGCTGCCGGCCGAGGTGACAGCTCCCCCTGCTGGGCAGGCAACTGGCTCTCTGCAGCTGCTGCCATTCTGGATGCCTGGATCTCCATAGAAACAGGGGTGGGACCAGGCCTGTCGCTTAGTATCAGTTTGGGAGGCATGTCTGAGATCTGGGGTTTAGGTGGGAGGTCTCTGAGGAGGGGTTTTGGGGGGAGGTCGGACAGCTGGGGCTTCTCAGACAATGGGGCTCTCTGGGTGGACTCCACTGGGGTGACGGGGGCTTTAGGGGAGGCATCGATAAAGGGAGGGGATTTCTGGGGATCAGGCTGGGAGGAGGGAGAGGAGGAAGGTTTGTGGAGGACATCTGGAGCCTGGCTGGGTTTATCCACAGAGGGGAAGTAGATGGTGTCAATCTTTCTTAGAGCCACTGAGAGACAAAAAGACAAAACCAGACAGAGAGACCTGAAACCAGAACAGGTTTAACAATAACATATCTGGACAATTTGATTGGTTGCCAGGTTTTGAGAGGGCAGGTCTTATGAGCCTACCTGAGATCAGATGTAGAAGAAGAAAGTTTTGTTTTAGTTCCTGTCTGCATTTATTTGTTCACCTCACTGAACAGAAACCAACAACGAGCTCTGGCCAGACTACGATAAAACTTGTCTGTCGCCGGCACACTTCTTCTATTACCTAGAAGGATGCCTCAGTTTTAGATCATCCTTGACTCAAAAGCCCCACAGAATATTAACAACCTATGCGTCTGGATTGAGGTTCTTGTTTTCAGATGTGGTTGGACAACATATTACACAAACTTGATGAGGGTGTGCTCTTCGTACGTGGATTAACAAGTTATCTGCACAACGTCATTGACAATTCCACATTATCCCAGATCTGTTGGTGCTTTGAAAGTCTCGCAGGACTTGATGTCATGGTAACATGTCCATAGCTCAAACCTGCTCAGGAGCAGGTTAATTCTTAAGATTATTCAATGTAAACAAGGTAACTTCACAGATTTAGGGTCTCGGAGCAGGAAGTAACTCAATGACATCAGAGCAATTATAATAAGACACGAGTTTAAACAAAACACACGACACTGACTATTGACAGAACCCTTTGGCCTGATCCAAACTGATTTTAATCAAATGTTTATTCATGTTGAAACAGAAAAAAGTGCACTTGGAACATACAAGGAGTGAAGGGGTGGAAATCCATTCTGACATGACTGGATCTATGTGGAATTCTTAACAGTTGAGAGCTTAACATGCTTTAAATGCATGAACTAATGTCAGTGAAGATGTGAACAGCCAGTTTAACCGAGAAGAAACTGATTTTGGTCAAAAGGACATATACAAGTGATAAATGTTCAAACTGGAGACAACCACACTTAATCAGTTGCTGAAATGTGTTACATAATTATTTAGACTGAGAAGTACTGTAATGTTGGAGACTTGGGTTCTTGGTGGGTGGCCGTCTGTCTCGAATAGTTGAGGTGACTATCATGTGACCTTTATGGTCTAAAATTGTCCCTCAACCCATCTATTGTTTTTTTTTCATTTTGCTAAACTGTATTGATTTCTTATATAGTGGGCAATGGAGGTCTCACCTTTCTGAGGAAGTTTGGGCAGAACTCTGGGTCCCAGCGTGGACTTGGTGTTACTGGCGGTCATACTGCAGAAGGAATAGAGAGATCAAAAGGTCAACCATCAGTTTGTATTTATTACATGTTTATTCATTATCTCCACCAAAGGTGGGTGTTTTTTTTTTTTTTTTGCAGTTTGTTGGTGTGTTTTTTAAAAGCATGACTCATAAACGGATTTGGATGAAATGTGTTGGAGAGGTAGAGTAAAGCCCATGGAGCAATTGATTAGATTTTGGTGCTGATCCATACCATCAATTTAATACATGAATTTTTTAAAGATTCTTCCCCACTGTGAATGCTGGAAAAGTTCCTGACTGTATGTGACCCCCCTTGTGGCCAAAGTGCACTGCAGCACTGCTGAGCACTCAGAGTACAAACAGAGACAAAGCCCTGGGTCAGCAGCAACAACTGCCCATCCATTGTCAGTGGAAACTGAGTGCCGTGACTAAGCCCCAGTGAGACAGGAACTGAAGGAGCCCAGTGAGGTCATGGCCTGCAGCTGGGGAGAGATCTGCTCTATGCAGCAACAGCCGGGCGAGAGCCTGGTGGCAGAGATTTGGAGCCAGGCTCAAAGCTGTTCTCATTTTCATCTGTAGGACTGGTGTTATGGATGTTTATAAAGTTTGACATATCAGATGTTGCTTCAGTATATCCACATAATCTTCCTTCTTCATGATGCAATCTATTTAGTGAGGTGCCCCAGGCCCTCCTGCAGCAAAGCCCCCCCACAACATGATGCTGCCTCCCCCATGCTTCATGGTTGGATGGTTTTCTTCAGCTTGCGAGCCTCCCCCTTTTTCCTCCAGACATAACAATGGTCATCATGGCCAAACGGTTCAGTTTTTGTTTCATCAGACCAGAGGACATTTGTCCAGAAAGTAAAATCTTTGTCCCCATGTGCAACTGCAAACCGCAGTCGGCCTTTTTCATGGCGTCTTGGAGCAGTGGCTTCTTTCTCGATAAGCAGCCTTCCAGGTTATGTTGATACAGGATTGGTTTTACTGTGGATACAGATATTTTGGTGCCTGTTTCCTCCAGTGTCTTCACAAGGTCTTTTGCTGTTGTTCTGGGATTGATTTGTACTGCTCAGACCAAAATACGTTCATCTCTAGCAGACAGAGCGCATCTCCTTCCTGAGCGGTATGATGCTGCATTGTCCCATGGTGTTTATACTTGTGTAGTATTGTTTGTACAGATGAACATGGAACCTTCAGGCATTTGGAAATTGCTGCCAAGGATGAGCCAGACTTGTGAAGGTCCACAGTTTTGTTTTTCTGAGGTCTTGGCTGATTTCTTTTGATTTTCCCATGATGTCAAACAAAGAGTTACCTAGTTTGAAGGTAGGCCTTAGAATCCATCCACAGCTGCACCTCCTGTTGACTGAGATGATGTCAGTTAGCCAATCAGAAGCTTCTAAAGCCATGACATCATTTTCTGGAATTTTCCAAGCTGTTTAAAGGCCCAGCCAACCGAGTGTATATAAACATCTCACTCACTGGAATTGTGATCGTATATTTCACTTATAGTTCACTCTATCTGTAAACAACTGTTGGAAAAATTACAAGTCCTAATCGACATGCCAAAATGAGTTTGTTAACATGACATCTGTGGAGCGGTTGAATGACTTCAACCTAAGTGTATGTAAACTACTGACTTCAGCTGTAGACTGAGAACATGTGGTCAGTCTATCAGTCCTAATCGACATGCCAAAATGAGTTTGTTAACATGACATCTGTGGAGCGGTTGAATGACTTCAACCTAAGTGTATGTAAACTACTGACTTCAGCTGTAGACTGAGAACATGTGGTCAGTCTATCCATGTAACGCCAATTTAGAATTTGTTCCAATGTTTTCGTTAATGTGAGTGCTCGTTATCTGACCAAGCTCGGTTGAATGACTTCAACCTAAGTGTATGTAAACTACTGACTTCAGCTGTAGACTGAGAACATGTGGTCAGTCTATCCATGTAACGCCAATTTAGAATTTGTTCCAATGTTTTCGTTAATGTGAGTGCTCGTTATCTGACCAAGCTAGCTGTGTTAGCTGGAAGCTACTACTGATTCACCGCTCAGAAGCCTTCAGCGAGAACGCCACTGTTCCAGCTGCACATTATAGCCCCGTGATGTCATCACCTCTTTGCCCATGGTGCACTCACCAAAGTCCCTGTTTTTACCCCTAAACCAACAAGTGAACATCTGTCGTTTTTCTTGAATAACCTTCAAACTAATAATCATGACGGTGTCATTCCAAATGCCAGCAATAGGCTTTCATGGTCAAGCAGTCATATTATGAGGGTCAGACTTTCATGGGAATGTTGCTCTTATGGCATTATGGGGAAACTGAGTTGCCCCTTGACACAGGTCTGCACTCTCCGAGTGCCATCTAGTTGGGCCTGAGCTACTGAGAGTACCTCTGCTGCTGGATTCCTTCAAACTTGTTGGCAGGTGAAGTCCGGTTTCCAGGTGGGGGGGTCACCTCACTTCCTGTGTGAAAACAATTACATTTCCACCTGGGGTCAAAGGTCAAACAGTGAACTGCTTTTGGACTGTGCTGCTGAATACATTTACCTGGAGGTCCCTGCAGGATGGGGCTCGGGGGGTCTGACAGGGCACGCTTGTGTCCAGGTGGAGGGGGAGGGGGTCTCTTCTTCAGGGTGGAGCTCCCTCCTCCAGCAGCCCCGCCTCCTCCTCCTCCACCACTCGTCTGGGAGGTGAGGGGGAGGGAGGTGGGTGGGCCAGTGGCAAAGCCTGAGGGTGGAACCAGTCAAAATTCATCCCATCATGTTCAACTGTTCTTTGATTTAAAAGAAACAGAAACCTCTGTCTTACCTACAGATTAAAATATCCTAGCAGCCCCTCAAATCCCTTCAATCTACCCAAACCAAGGAAACACCTGTAAAAGGTCCCTGAAGCCCCCACAAGGGCTACAGGATCCTCCTCCAGAGCCATTTACACCTCTTATCCTTAAGCAGCCCAGGAATTTCCCATTCAGGAATTCCCATTACAGACAAACTGCACCTCTCCTCACAGACCTCTATACCCCTTAAAGACCTCCATAATACCTGGCTTTATGGACAACCTTGAGAAACCTCTTGAACTCCTTAAATACCTTCTGAACCACCTTCATAAACTTTTGGAATCAATCACACCTTCAAAGACCTCTGCACTTGTGAAAAGAACTCCTGGCAATTCATCCTTTCTTAGGAGTCACTGGCCTACTCCATAGGGGTTTCCTACCTTTCCCCTGACTCCTGATAGCTGGTGAAGGTCCTGAAGTGTCAGGTCCTGGGGATGGAGGAGTGTCAGAGGAGATGCTGTAGACGGGGTTGGCAAATGCTCCGTAGGAAAGATGCTGCTTTTCTCTGTGAGGAGGAACAACAGACGCTGGCAAGGAGAATTTCTCCTGAGAGGAAACACTGGAGGACGGACAGAAACTCTGAGGACGGAGGGAGCGCTCCTTCTTCACCGGACTCGGCTGCAGGAGAAGGACAAAAAGAGGACAAAACAGGAGCCCATTAACATTGTCAAACAGAAATCATCTGATCTGTTCTGTGGATTGTTCGGCAGTACCTTGTCGTCAAGTTCATCGTCACTCTCATCCAGTTCATCCAATCTGAGGTTCCAGTCGTAGTCAACGTGAACATGAGGGTTAAACCTTCCAGACACAGCCTCTACCAGCTGGTAGACACAGGGACAATGTTCATGTTACCTACAGAGGCAGAGTCATGGTTTCCTGATCCCTGTCTTGCTCTGAGCAGAGTGGATTATGAGTAGGGTTAGGGTTAAACCACTAGGACTTCTGCTTAAACCTTCACATTCACACTGACTGCTGTGTGTGTCCTTTTTAAATTCAGAATACTTCCATACCCATGACATGTTTCTGATGGGAGAGTTGAACATATGTGTATTTTTCAGGGCTGCTACAGGTCAAGGCCAGTTCTCAAAGAAAGTGTTTTGTTGTTCACCCTCTCATGTAGCAGACAGAATTCTATCTATCTATCAAAAGTGTCAGCCCACACCGACTCAGAGACATGCAAGAGACGAGCACCACCCCGGACTGCTCACATTTTTCACACTCCAAGTCTGTTTCTTCTGTTTGGTACATTTAATTAAGCCTAATCTCCACAGACAGGTGTTTAAATCACAGAAATCCTCTGGTATTTTTGTGATGCCTATAAGACTGTTGCAATAACCGCAATATTCCATAAAGGAGAACAGGCATAACGTTATAGTCTTCTTGTGCCCAACTTCCCTTCAGTGCCCTTCATTTTTGTCATTTAAAAAGTAAAAACATGCATAATAATTACAATGATAAAGCTCATTTATATAACACTAAAATCAGGATAAAATATGTAATTCACAAAAACAAAAATTACAAAAAATGGCAGGTAATATCACATATTGCAGTGTTAAGCCACCCTAAATTACCACAGGGAAAATTCTCTCACCACAACAGTGCTAGCTGCAAATGTTTTTACTGGTATCTGTAATGAATGATCAGGCGTGACTAGGAGCTTTTTGGTTTCACATTCCACTGCCCTCTACAGCGACATGGGGAAATCCATCAAATTAATAAATCCATATGTAAAGAGCGAGGTTGATTTCTTCGTGAAGAGTCTACATGAAAACTGCTGTTGTCATCCAGTATGTGCCTGCTGTCAGTCAGCCTGGTGAAGACCCTGGTCACGGCCCTGCTGACAGACAGCTGTTCAGATGACAGCGGCGCTGCACCGAGGTCGGAGATGGTGTAGACTGAACAGGAAAAAGGCTTCAGTAGCTTATGCCCTGCTCATATCTCACTTTCATTGTGAATTCCCAGTCTCAGAATGCTAGCAGCCGTCCAGTTTGAGCTTTGTATCGCTGACATCACATCGCTGGGCCTTTGGTCAGTGCATCGATCCAGATGGATGAATGGTTACACCACCGTGCAGGTGGAAATGCGCTCCTGAGGGTGCCACAAAGCGTTATGCACAATATACAACTGACTTCACACTATGGATGGAGTCGTCTCCACGCAAAAGGCTTAGGGATACTGTAGTGTTTAGTCATTGCACAGCCCAAACCCCTATCGTCTATCTCAAGGACCAGGGGACTCTGTGGTTTACTGTTAAAGAGATTTCTACAGTGAGAAACCAGAGACTCCACCCACTCCATCATAATGTCCATCATTAAAACTTTAACGAGCAAATGATATGACCTGGTTCTGATTCCAGTCCTGGCTCTTACCGGCTCTTCACAGTGGGAGTTCTTTAGTCTGCGGGCAATGTCCAGGGCTGTCTCTCCGCTCTGATTGGCTGAAACAACAAAGATGTAGAATATCTGACACTACCACTAGCTGACTAAGGTCCCAGCTCTAGGCAGCATTGCAGCAGCACAGTGTCAAGTGACACAGGTTGACAGTGAGGAGACTGTCCTAAATGGGGCTAAAGCTCTGCCGTTACACAAAGCTCCAATTCCTCCCAAACTAAAATCATATTAATGCAAGTCCTGACCATGCTGTGGGTCTGGGTTAATGCTCCTTGAAGTAACTGAGGTGTAATTGATCAGTATTCAGAGCCTAGCCTTGCTTAGCTTAGCATGTGGTGTCCTTACTGATGTGGATGTCAGGTTTTCCTCTCAGCAGCAGTTTCACACACTGTGGTTTGTTGTATAGACAGCAGTAATGCAGAGCTGTGTTTCCTCCATCCGTCTGTCCATCCAGATTACCACTGCAGACAGAACAGCAGACACATATCCTCATTTCCACTGCTCATACAGCTCCAATTCTGAGTGTCAAAGCAGATCACAAATCTATAAATACATGTTAAGTGACAGTAATCAGATTTCCAGGATATTAATCAGATGCAACTCAGAAACAGATTCAAACACATGCACACAAAGAACCTGTTCTGGACCAGGAAGTCGACCAGGTGGAGGGAGGAGTGATCAGCTGTTCGGACACAGTAATGTAACGCAGTCTCTCCTGCTTCCTGCACAAAAATATTAAACACAAACACCAAAAACCTCTCAGAGCTCAGAGCTACCCCAAAGATAGTTGCTAATGAACTCTCAGGTAAAACAGGTGGTTACTCCATCACCACAAACACCCCCAAAGTGCTTCAGTACCACCAGACCCCCTAATGAACCCTAATATTCCCACTTGGATTAATACCTTCTTTCTATATTTATATATCTTGGACATTTTTTGTCTATTTGTCAGTTACTCTTGAGAGATGGACAGGAAATGGAGATAGTGAGATCTGTGACAAATGTCCATGGCTGGAAATGAGCCATGATCATTGCACTTGCAAGGTGCAGTTATACATGGCGCCTGTCAAAACCACTCAACTAACAGGGAGTCTAATATCTTATTTATGGATTTGGGAAAATGCTCCAAAGAACTACGGAACTGCCACCTATGAAAGAACACATTACATTTCTATAAAACACTCAAACATGTCGCCAAGAGCTCCAGGACAATAATTCCAACAGAAAAATGTACTAAGGCAATGTGCAATCTCCTCAAACCCAGAATCAAATGAAATTAATTCTTGGCTCCAAAGTCACTGAGACTCCCTAATGAACATCTGAAACTCCTTAGGTAGACCTGAAATCCCCAAACCGATTTGAGAAACCACCTGAAAGACCTCTGGAACGTTATCATCAAAAAACCCTATGGATCTCTGAGATAATTTTTTGTGAAGAATCAACAAGTGGGACACAATCATGAAGTGGAATGAAATTTATTGGATATTTCAAACTTTTTTAACAAATAAAAAACTGAAAAATTGGGCGTGCAAAATTATTCAGCCCCCTTAAGTTAATACTTTGTAGCGCCACCTTTTGCTGCGATTACAGCTGTAAGTCGCTTGGGGTATGTCTCTATCAGTTTTGCACATCGAGAGACTGAAATTTTTGCCCATTCCTCCTTGCAAAACAGCTCGAGCTCAGTGAGGTTGGATGGAGAGCGTTTGTGAACAGCAGTTTTCAGTTCTTTCCACAGATTCTCGATTGGATTCAGGTCTGGACTTTGACTTGGCCATTCTAACACCTGGATATGTTTATTTGTGAACCATTCCATTGTAGATTTTGCTTTATGTTTTGGATCATTGTCTTGTTGGAAGACAAATCTCCGTCCCAGTCTCAGGTCTTTTGCAGACTCCATCAGGTTTCCTTCCAGAATGGTCCTGTATTTGGCTCCATCCATCTTCCCATCAATTTTAACCATCTTCCCTGTCCCTGCTGAAGAAAAGCAGGCCCAAATCATGATGCTGCCACCACCATGTTTGACAGTGGGGATGGTGTGTTCAGGGTGATGAGCTGTGTTGCTTTTACGCCAAACATAACGTTTTGCATTGTTGCCAAAAAGTTCGATTTTGGTTTCATCTGACCAGAGCACCTTCTTCCACATGTTTGGTGTGTCTCCCAGGTGGCTTGTGGCAAACTTTAAATGACACTTTTTATGGATATCTTTAAGAAATGGCTTTCTTCTTGCCACTCTTCCATAAAGGCCGGATTTGTGCAGTATACGACTGATTGTTGTCCTATGGACAGAGTCTCCCACTTCAGCTGTAGATCTCTGCAGTTCATTCAGAGTGATCATGGGCCTCTTGGCTGCATCTCTGATCCGTCTTCTCCTTGTATGAGCTGAAAGTTTAGAGGGACGGTCAGGTCTTGGTAGATTTGCAGTGGTTTGATACTCCTTCCATTTCAATATTATCGCTTGCCCGGTGCTCCTTGGGATGTTTAAAGCTTGGGAAATCTTTTTTTTATCCAAATCTGGCTTTAAACTTCTCCACAACAGTATCTCGGTCCTGCCTGGTGTGTTCCTTGTTCTTCATGATGCTCTCTGCGCTTTAAACGGACCTCTGAGACTATCACAGTGCAGGTGCATTTATATGGAGACTTGATTACACACAGGTGGATTCTATTTATCATCATTAGTCATTTAGGTCAACATTGGATCATTCAGAGATCCTCACTGAACTTCTGGAGAGAGTTTGCTGCACTGAAAGTAAAGGGGCTGAATAATTTTGCACGCCCAATTTTTCAGTTTTTTATTTGTTAAAAAAGTTTGAAATATCCAATAAATTTCGTTCCACTTCATGATTGTGTCCCACTTGTTGTTGATTCTTCATAAAAAATTACAGTTTTATATCTTTATGTTTGAAGCCTGAAATGTGGCAAAAGGTCGCAAAGTTCAAGGGGGCCGAATACTTTCGCAAGGCACTGTACCATCAGGCTGCACAACCAGCATTGCTCCCAGTAGACCCATATCCAATTATGCTGTATGTAAATACTAGTTTTACTTTTTATTATTATATTCTACATTGATCATATCTGTTACTTTTTCTGCTTTTACCATTGAGGACTTTGTTTCTATTCCCTGGCTGCTGTAGCCTTGTGAAAGGATTTCCCTGCAGTGGGACCATTATCTCATCTTATCAGCAACGATCCCTACATCCTCATCAAGCCTCTCAGAAGCTGTGAGAACCTCCCTAAGTGCCACAAACACCTACCTCCTAACAGATACCTAGACCCTCCTCAAGTAGACCTGAAATTCCCTCTGGAATTTCTAAAGGAAATCAGATGTCGAGCCTTCTCTTAAGGCCATCTACAACACATCTGAACCCCTCTGGACAGGAAAACTAACAGGACTGGAAACCTCCTTCTTGGTCAAGACAGTGATTGACAGATGTGAACTCCAACCAACCTTGCCGGGTTCAGGGATGGGCTGCAGCAGCTCCGCCCCCTCAGCATACAGCTGGATAACTGACAGCAGGTCTCGGGATCGGACCGCTTCATACAGGTCATCCAGCATGCTGGTCACTGTGGAGGCAGAGCGTCTGACAAACTTGCGGTCGATGTACTTGGCATTGATAAACTCTTTTCTTGCCGTCCTTTGGACAGGAATAGTAAGGCAACGGTCATCTTTTAGGCTGATTAGTGGATATCAATCACTGTATTAGGCATGGATTTATATTGTAGTATAGACAAAAATATTCAGACACTCACATGTCGCTGGAGGCTGTTGGCTTCAAAGATGGAGATGGAAGACTGGCCTCCATGATTTCATTAAAACTACAGTTCCCAACATTCCTAGCAAGCTGACAGGAGGGAAAGAAGGGGGGGGAAATGAAAGACAGAAGCAACCAGGCAGCAGAGCAGACACATTTCAGACAGGTGAGGTTACCAGCAGCTCAGACGCTCCCAGTTTGTCCAATTCTAGACTCTGGATCCTGGACACATGGACCCCCATCTCTCTGTGGATCCCTGAACACTCAATGCAGGTCAGAACACCCAGGTTGGTGGAGAGCCAGCGAGGATCTAAACATATAGACAGAATCGACATCATCATCATGAGGTGATGCAGCTACAAGCAGGGACTTCCTGTTGGTGCATTTAAGGATGTCCATGAGCGTCATAACAGTTTAGTTTGTTAGAAATGTATTTATGATACAACTTGATTAAATTACCAATCAGGATTTTCATACCACACTTTATCTTTTGTAGAAAGTGACAGAAATATTTGTAAAGTAAAACCTCAAAGTACTAATCAGATACATGTTTCTCAGAGGTTATGTCTGTGGTTTTTGGCTGTTTAAAAACAACCTCACCAGATAATCAGTTATTTGATGATATAAAATGAGATGCATTTTGGATGAATGGCAGCTTTGATGGGTGGCCTCTGACCATCAGTGGCTCCTCACAGGGAGAGCAGCGCCACACATGTTCACCTGTGGCTCCACAGTCGCAGCAGGTGTCATTGCCTGGTGACCGCAGCACCTCGTCGATGATGCTCTTGGTGAGCTCCTCTTCTTCCTCCACACCTGAACTCTGACCTCCACTCTGAAAGGCCACATTCAGGGCCTCCTCCTTGCTGTTGGTCAACACGGACACCCAGCTGTAGCACACGCACACAAACAAATTGTTAGATAGAGATGAAATAATAACTGTATTTCATAGACTTTGGTCTAATTCAGGCTGTTCTAATGGCTCAGAGAAAAAAGACTAAATGCTGAAACACGCTACTTTATGAATTAACCATAAAGCATGACAAGGGCTGGACCATGAATCTACCCACAGATTCTACTGAAATCTGCCACTGAGCCATTTCTACAGAAAGAAATCAAAGCAGATTCCTCTGAGGAGAACAGTGTGACACTAAGCCAGCACATACAGGGGAAGTAACTGAAGAACAGTTTCACCATTATATCAGGGACTACACATTAACAACATCAGTCACAAATCTGAAAAGAGAGACACTGAATGTTTTTGGTTAATGAGCAGCGTCACAGTCTGAACTGGACAGAGATCCGATGATAATGCGCAGACTGAAAATGAAGTAACAGATGTTTCACCTGACAAAATCCTGCTCATTGTCAGCCTGGAAGTGGTATGTCCGATTATCTGCAGGGCAAACACCAAAACAAGATGTAAGCAGGCCGTTTAGAAAGAGCCTCCGCTTTAACACAATTAAGGATCCTGATCAGAAACTTTATGTTACTAATGAATACTGGGTGATTTGCAGACTGACAAGTCCAGTATCGGGCTCTGACAGAGACCGACTCACGTGAGATGAGATCGAAGCACTTCTTGTCCTCTGCGCTGGGTTTCACCTGACAGGTGAGCAGGTTCAATCTGACTGGCTGTCTGTTAGACTGAGAAGCACACAGTGCAGTCAGTGCCTGCTTGTGACAGCAGGACCCTACTTTAAAAGAACAATATGCTGGTTTTAGCCTATTTGGTAAATGGTCTTATGCTTATATTGTGCTTTTCTGTGCAATGAAGCACACTCAAAGCTCTTTAAATGATTTCCCTTTCACCCATTCGTACACACAAGCATTAACACACACTGATGGCACAGCCACCGGCAGCCACCTGGGCTCCTGGACAGTCTGCTCTCGCTACATCACCACAACATGATAATGCAACTCTGACTTGCAGGGTGATTTTTGTTGAAGTCACCTTCAGTCTGATAAGCACTGATGGGAACATCAGAAGTGATTCCTGTTATCTGACTCCAGAACAGCTCATGAATAGTTAATCATGAAGTTCAATATAAAGAGAAGGAAGCTGAAATCAAACTCCATTAAAACTAGCGCTCCCATTCAGGTGAAAGTGGTTCCTGTGTTCAGCTTAACTGCAGCGCTCTGATTCGTCCTCTAGAACACAGTCTGATTCAAACTGCTACTGTTTCAGCTCCTTGTTTTGTTGTGTAAAGCGACCAGGTAATACCAGGGTGAACACATTTTATTATGCAAGTACCATTCATGTAATAGCAACTGAGAAAACAAAAATAAGTTTGTCAGTGTCAGTTCAGGGTGCCAAGGTTTGATATCAGCAGGTTGATGAAGCTTTGAAGCAAAGTAAAGAAAGACAAATTCTTTGACATCCAATTAAGGAGCGTGTAATTTAGATATAAACCATGTGCATAACAATAGCACTGGTTGTTGTGTTTATGAATGAGAGACAAACACAACAGTAAACAGCAGAGGACCCAGGATGGAGCCCTGTGGAACTCCACACTGAAATGCCTTTGGACAATGCAGGCTGGGGGCCTTGTGTGGACTGCAGACTTTTTAAATCAGCTGAATCAAAGCCCCTTACTTTAGCTCACCTCTTTATCAAGGGCCGCACAGGAATAATGGCTTGAAAACCACCTTAAAGAAATTTCACACATCAGGAACGACCGAATCACTGTTCCAGGTGTTGTTACTCTTCTTTGCTTTACATTTAGTGCCACCAGCAAAGCAAATAAATGTGTTTAATCTAAATATCCAAAATGATTTGGAGACATTTAAAAAGCACTATGTCTATTCAATAACAGCTCCAGAAGAGCTGAATGTTTTATCTGCTCCTCACTGGTTTCATTCTCTCCTTCTAATAAGTTTCTTTGTGGAGTTCCCCCTTTCATACAGTATGTGGCTCCAAAGTCACACCAGCCTGCACCACCCTGTACTGATTCCACAGTGCATGATGGGAGATGTAATTCTTACTGTTGCATGAGAGATTGTGAGGACGCCGCTCTTCACTGAACATTTCCTTCGTTGCCAGACCTTTCTCAGTCTAATGGAGAGAAAAACAGAGTGGAGCTTAAACCTTTTCATCTCAAACCAATCAGAAGGCCTGGTAATACCTGTACAGCTGAATGAAATGGTGGTATACCCGTCACTCTTCTTCAGCAGGTATCCTTTCTTCTCACTGCCAAACTCCTTGTTCCCCTGCAGCTGATGCATACTGTATCCGCTCTGTTTGCTCTGAGAGTCCTGACAGACAGAAACATGTTAATACTCAGACTTTCCCACATTTCTACATGTCCACCTCTGAACAGATGAGACAACCTCTCTTAGGAGCTGGCAGCAGAATGAAGCGCGACTGGTACTCAGTGAGAAAATGTGGACATTTTTCAACATCACAGAAGAAGAATCTGATGAATCAACTCCTTTTGTTACACATACTGTGTACGTACACACACACACACACACATTGTAAACAGCATGCCAAAGAGCTTCATGCCATTGAAGGTGATGCAGATGAACAGACTTACTCTCCTGGACTTCAGTCACAGAATGCAGGTGAAAAAGACAGAGAGGTCAGAGGTCACTGAGTGAGGCAGGTAGTTGCAGGTGAACAAGCCTCCGTCACTGTGGCGGCTCCTCACTTTTAAGCATGTGCAACACTGGGTACGTTAGCATTTAAACCTCCTAAGCACCTCTGCTACAGAGTGTGACAGGGAGGTCCTATTGGCCCTATTACATGTTGTTCAAATATAATCCAAACTACTAGTGGTTAGTTAAGTGAAGTTAGTCCAGGTTGAACAGACCATCAATATCTTGTACCTCTACCAAAACTGTTCTGTGCTATCATCAGCTAAAAGGCAAAATCCTCAGCTACATGAAATAAACGTTGCGTCCATAAATCTCCAGCAAATCATTCTCTGTGTTCTGAGCCCCTGACAAAGGACAAAGGTCTCAGAGGCACCAAAGCAGACTGAATGGTCTACCTACAGGGGGCTGAGGGTGCGCCTCCATTGGTTAATATCCGCTAGGTCAGAGCGCCGATGTTTGCACTGTTCCAACATCATGTGTTTCAGATTTGTATGAAATTTTTTATTTCTTCTGGTGACAGAAAGACAAATGTTGGAGTTTGTCACTGAAATCACGACTCCTGCTGCAGCAGGTGCACATTAATGTCAGTTGATGAGATCAGACCCCACCCAGCATAAAATACCCCACCCTCATCTTGTGAAACCCCACCCCTGCTCTCCAGGTGTTGTACCTCCCTCTGGTCCAGCTGTAGGGAGCTCCTGATGAGGTCTCTGAGAGCTGTCAGCTGCTTCTTCTCCTCATCCTGGCTCTGTTTGATCTGTGGAGACAGCAGTCAGCTCACTTGAGCAGCAGGGGGCGATGTGGGGATTACACAGAACATATGAGGGTCTTACATTGTGCAGGTCTGCAGCCAGTTTCTCGATGTACTGCTTCAGTTTGTCAGCTGTTTTCAGGCCATCCTGAAAGAAACTGGAAACAGCAAGACAGGCAGGAAATTCAGTGGCTTTTCAAAATAAAACTGACAGTAAAGAGAACATGAGGTGAGTTCTTACTTGCACTGAGCATGATAATACTTGATGAGGTTCTGCAGCAGATCCACTCCCTTCTTAGTCTTAATCTCATTGACTTTGATGAAATACTGTTGGGCACAGAGACACAGCTGCCAATCATTAAAGGGACAGTTCATCCTAAATCAAACAGAGAGGCTCTGAAGTCCCAGACAGACTTGTTTCTAAGCTTTCACAAGTCCAAGTTACATCTCCAGTCAATTGAAGAGTTTCATGTCAAGTCTCAAGTGAGGTTCAGTCAAAACAAGTCTGCGGCCAAGTCCAAGTCATGTCTCAAGTTGATCGAGAAAGGTCTAAGTCAAGTCTCACCTCATTCAATAGAAGTCTCAGGTCAGATCTCAAGTCTCTGAGGACAGGTCCAGGTCAAGTCCAAGTCCGCTGACTCAACTCAGAAGTCCAAAGATGAGACAATACAATGAGCTCCAGTCCTAGAGGGTGTTCTTCATACGTGGATTAACAGGTTAGCTGAATAACTTTGTTGATACTTTCCAATGATGCCAGATCTGTTGGTTCTTCGAAAAGTCTCATCGGACTGGTTGTCATGGCAACGTGTCCGTAATCTCAAACCTACTCGGGAACAGGTTTATTCTCGTCTCGGGCTTATTACCTCTCAGACTTAAAACCATCTCTGAGCAGAAAGCAACTCGCTGACACAGGAGCGATTATAATAAGACATACAGACAGTACTGAGAGATCGACAGAACCCTTTATCCCATTCTTAATCAGACAGTACTGAAGTGGACTGTTAGTGCCTCATATTAGGGGCCAGACCAAGAGCAGCTGTGCTCTCACCACCACACAGTCAGCGTGCACTGACATGAGGTTTCTCACAAGCTGCAGCTTCTTATAAATGGCCGGTGATGTGGAAAATTTTAGAAAGTGTGCTGTTGTTGAGCTTTTCTGAAGGTCTACCTGGCTCTGAAACAGTTCCTCTGAGTTTTCATAGTCTGCCTTCATCCTATGTACTTTCACAACAAAGGGAATTAATTGATGGTGCATGTGGAATTAAACAAATCACACCGTCCTATCAAAGCGGTGGACATGCAGTCGTGACCACATTAAGAATTTAACTGGGATACTTATGCCTTTACTTATGACATTTTTGCCTCCATCTCTCCACCTTGTCACCGATGTTGCAGTGACCTTACATACAAAGCAAGTCTTTAAACTCCTCGTAGCCTCCAAAAGAAGCTCTCTCTCTGCTGTGCTGGCAGACTGCGCCCTGTACATCTGCATGTAGCCAATCAGAAATCAGCTGATCATGGTTTCAGCTGTCGATACATATAGTCTAATCGCTGACCACAAGAGCGTGCACTGATCTCAGATGACTGAATCCAGCTTTTGAAATCCACAACACAGTTGGGGGTTGAAGAACCAAAATATCCAGATAACACCAGTTGGCATTAGAAAGCCCAGCATTACTCATTTGATCTGGGATCTGTTTAGGGACATACGAAGAACACCCCCTTGTTTGACGGCTGTGATGAGGCCTGCAATCTGTAGTGGGCGCTTTCAGCCCTCTGTGGTACCTCACACATCTGCAGCTGGAACAGCCTCCTCTCTTTCTCCATCTCTTCAGCAATTTCAGCACCAGTGATTTCAGTCCGGATCATACCATGTTGTTTGGCATGTTCTCTCTTTTCCTTCTCGATCTTTGCACTGAAAATCATGATTAAATGGAAGGTAGGTAACTCATGTTAACCAGGTCTGAGATCAACATGACAGTAAGGTTCTAAAAAAGAAACAAGCTTAAGGACTTTATAGTGACTTCAGATCCACTAGAAACAGTGAGAAATACCAAGCAACAAGCAAAAAGTCAGAATACTCTCCACAAATGACTTATAAAATGGACCAGTACACGTCTGCCCGCATCAAACTGTCGAAGCTAACACAGGAAATGCAATTGCTGTAGCCCCTTCTTATAAATGGCATCTGTATCTGGGTCCCATGATGGTTTTGCATGAGTAATTGTCCCAAGATATTTGTATTGATATACAACCTCAGTACAGTCCCCATTAACAGCCATTTGTCAGTTCCCCTCTCATTCTGAAATCAAAGATCATTCCCTTGGTTTTGTTAGTATTAAGATACAGAGAAACATATCTTATTAACACACTTATCCACACTTCTACGATGCTTAATTACATCTTCAGTAATGAGACCAATAATCGTGGTGTCGTCAGCAAACAACATTAATGGCATCAGGTGAGTCTCCCCTACATTCATTTTGTATAAATAGATGTGGTGCAGTATACTGTATGCATGTGTGGTGTACATTATTAAGGTCTGGTTCTGTACTGGTAAAGACCAATAAAAACAGGTTTCCAACAAAGTGTCAAACTGACTCACAACTTGGTCTCATAGTCCTTCCAGGCTTTATCAAAGGGTTTCTTCAGGTCCTGAAACACAGACAAGAGACTTCACTGAACAAAACAGAGTTGAGTGTATAAACAACTTTACGAGTTTCACTGACAGCTGATAAAAAAAAATATCAAACCCAATGTAATATATAAGAAAACCTGAACATTTACAATCAGGAACTTGAGCTAAAAAAAATAAATCTAGTGAACGAGTCCATAAAATAAAGACTCACCCCTTTGACTCCTTTCAGATCTCCTTTCAGCAGAGAGTCCAGAGTAAAGACCACGTTATGACTCAAACTCTGCAGCTGAACAACAGACACATGATTACATTACTTTGATCACCTCGGTATTGACTGATTCTTGATCGACAGCTGACTGACCAGGTTCCTGAGCAGAGCAGCCAGTTCTTTAATGAGGCATGAGAATTTAACAAAGGCAGCTCCCAGTTCAGAGTTGTTTCCTCCCACTCTCTCCAGTGCCTGGCTGAAGCTGTCCTGGTTCCCAGCATGCTCTGCTCCACCACCACCACAAAACAAGAGTCAGTCTGGTGCAGGTTTATGTTTCATAAAACAAACTAGTTTCTAAAAGTGCAGAACTGCAGCTAATGATTATTTTCATTCTCACTCTTAATTAATTCATCAACTGCTGGGTCTTTAAATAAAGAGGTGACTGATTGTTTCTGTGCACAGAAATGATAGAGATCCAGTTTCCTGTCACATGAAACACAATAAAGCAGAAAATCACATAGAGTACAGAAGCAGTAACCAGAAGACCCACTAATACTGAACATGTACAAGAGTCAAAGAGAAGCAATACAGTTTTATCCTTTTTGCTTAAAAATTTGTTTAACGGATATTGAAATAGTAATATTACAGAAATCATTCCTAATTAATTTGCAGATGTAGACCGGGGTTTAAGCAGAACCAGAACCTGGCCGTACCTTGTCCTGAGCTGTACATGGATTTTACCGACTTCTTCACCTTCTGCAGAGCTGAGCGGTCCTGATCAAGAGCCTGAACACACACAGAGACACAGGCTCTGAGATCTGGGTCCTTGGACGGGTTCAGGTAAGAACCAGGCTTAGAGTAAGGGTTGTGATGGGTAAGGTTAGGGGCTCAGGGACACAGTGTGTCAACGATGGGTCTCACAAACACGGTCGCATCACTACGCAAGCTTCACGGTAAACCGTGGTATGAAAATGGACAATTTTCATAAAATGGGCATTTTGCTTACTACCTGTAGTGAAGGAAAAGAAAAACACAACGCGTGTGTGCACCTTTCTTCCTCCACTACTTGTCAGACTGTGCACCGGGTGCCACATGCACACATACAAAAGACAAATGGCAGACGAGGAGGCTGAAATCACCAAACTCCATCCACCAGAAAAGAAATGTAAACCAGCAGCGCAGGATTAGTTTGGATATCTCATAAATGACCACCTTTGAGAACGCCGTCCCTCTGTACAGGTCAGAGTGTGTGTCCTGTTTATTACCTTAACACCAAACGTCGGTCATAAAAAGCGCTATCGAAGTAATGTATTATATTGTCCGTTCGTTCACTGACCTCTGACTTACAACAGGACTCACACTGATCCTGACCTGACCCCAGAAACACGCACAAACTTTACCGGCTTACAAAGGTGCGTGTGTGTGTCTATACAGACAGGACCAGTCCGACTGCGCTGTCACACACCTAGAGTAAAATAACAACTATTGTGATAATCGTGTACAGCAGCGTGATGGCACTTCTCACTATCATTTTACAAACTATTCAAGAAAACTTCATTCACTGATTAATCAGCAGATTAATCCCTAATGAAAGTAATCAATAGTTGCACATGGATACAAACCAGATCGGTAGAGCTGCAGCTCAACCAGCTGCAACATCACACCCTGCTGTTACTTCAGTGCATGTGTGACAGGCTGGTAATGTAATAAATAATAGTACATCAGTAGAAAAACCTTTTTCTGCAACGAGTAGCCGACTTCTACCTTTAATACTTTAATTAATAATACTCAGTTGTACTTAACATTTCCAGTGCAGCACTTTTACTAGTAACACAATGGCTACGCTACTCTTAAGTAGAGGACATGAATACTTCCTCTACTACTGGCGCCAACATGCAAGCTATCATGTTTTGGTTACATAACATGCTATGCTTTTTTTTAAAATCATGTTTCTCACAGTTTATTCTTTGGGGTCAGTCTAGTGCTGCGGCCCAGCTCAGTCAACTGTCGCCGTCACAATAACAAAAGACCCTTTTGTTTTCATTCCTTTGAGGGTTGCTGTAGCTGATAGTAACATTAATCGTGTAATACCGTAAAACCCTGATATTTTCTGAGACGCTTATTGTACCGTGAAAATCTCATACCGTTACAGCCCTACTCACAAAGACAGACGTGTGTGAGGGCGGTGGGGGTTTTGTTGACACAGAAACTGTAAACAGATGCGACACGCTTCCCAAGTCGATGGTTCCTCTTTTGCCATGGCAACTTGGCCTGAGAATGTAGGTCATCAACCATGTGGTCTGACTCCTGCCACCTTCATCACCATCACCGTCATCATAGAGTATCTGTCTGCAGTCTAACACTGTTAGCTTTGGTCAGTGAAAGCAGCATTTCATGGTGTGTTCAGGTTAGGCTGCGTAATGTAAAAACAATCTACTGATTCAAACCGATTTCCTTTCTTCCTTCAATGAAACAATAATCCCTTTAAATCCCCTTAATTTCCTGTGCAAACATACATTGAACAAAATTATAGGCTGGCCACAAAAAAAGGCCACTCTAAATGTGCAGTTTTATCACACAGCACAATGCCACAGATGTCACAAGTTTTGAGGGAGCATGAAATTGGAATGCTGACTGCAGGAATGTCCACCAGAGCTGTTCATTTCTCTACCATAAGCCGTCTCCAAAGGTGTTTCAGAGAATTTGGCAATACATTCAACTGGCCTCACAACCACAGACCACATGTAACCACACCAGCCCAGGACCTCCACATCCAGCATCTTCACCTCCAAGATCATCTGAGACCAGCCACCCGGACAGCTGCTGCAACAATCGGTTTGCATAACCAAGGAATTTCTGCACAAATTGTCAGAAACCGTCTCAGGGAAGCTCATCTGCATGCTCGTCGTCCTCATCGGGGTCTCGACCTGACTGCAGTTGTCAGTAACCAACTTGAGTGGGCAAATGCTCACATTCAATGGCGTCTGGCACTTTGTGTGGTGTTCTTTTCACGGCTGAATCCCGGTTTTCACTGTACAGGGCAGATGGCAGACAGCGTTTATGGCATCGTGTGGGTGAGCAGTTTGCTGATGTCAACGTTGTGGATCAAGTGGCCCATGGTGGCGGTGGGGTTATGGTATGGGCGGGCATATGTTATGGACAACGGACACAAGTGCATTTTATTGATTGCATTTTGAATGCACAGAGATACCGTGACGAGATCCTGAGGCCCATTGTTGTGCCATTCATCCACAACCATCACCTCATGTTGCAGTATGATAATGCACGGCCCCATGTTGCAAGGATCTGTACACAATTCCTGGAACCTGAAAACATCCCAGTTCTTGCATGGCCAGCATACTCACCGGACATGTCACCCATTGAGCATGTTTGGGATGCTCTGGATTGGCGGAGAAGTGCTCACTAACACAGATTTAGACAGATTTGTGAACAACAGCGTGTTCCAGTTCCTGCCAATATCCAGCAATTTCGCACAGCCATTGAAGAGGAGTGGACCAACATTCAAACAGGCCACAATCAACAACCTGATCAACTCTATGAGAAGGAGATGTGCTGCACTGTGTGAGGCAAATGGTGGTCACACCAGATACTGACTGGTTTTCGGACCCCCCCAAATACAGTAAAACTGTACATTTTAGAGTGGCCTTTTACTGTGGCCAGCCTAAGGCACAGCTGTACAATAATCATGCTGTCTAATCAGCATCTTGATATGCCACACCTGTGAGGCGGATGGATTATCTCGGCAAAGGAGAAGTGCTTACTAACACAGATTTAGACAGATTTGTGAACAATATTTGAGAAAAATAGGCCTTTTGTGTACATAGAACAAGTCATAGATCTTTGAGTTCAGCTCATAAAAAATGGGGGCAAACACAAGGGTGTTGTGTTTATAATTTTGTTCAGTGTAAATATCTGAAGCTAAATCAGCTATAAATCCTCAGTTTATCCTTTAAGCATTGTAGAAGTTACATTAAAATCCCTTAAAATGTTTCATTTCATCAAAGTGTCCTTATCTGTGTGATGCACAGGGTTTTAAGGGCACATTTTTTTAACTGACCAAATGACAATGTCCACCCTTAACAGAGTCTGCATTTTGAGGTATAAATTAAACCATTCAGGCACTGAAGCCGATATATACACTCACTGGTCACTTTATTAGGTACACCTGTACCACTGTACACACTTCATTGCAACATTTCCACCTGAACATCTGTGTTTATGACTCTCAACATGTTTCAGTTTTTGGTTAAAATGTCATAAATGTAAATTAAATAATATGTTTATTATTGAGGTCATAGTTAAAGGCGTTGTTGTACTGGACTACACTATATTCAGAGGTGTCTCTATATTTTTGTCCTCCCCAGCTACACACATGAGAGGATCAGAATATTAGGAACACCTCTAAATATAATGGCCCCTACCATGAGAATCCCCCAGACAGCTGAGTGAGTTTACTGGCTGCACACAGACTGAGCAGCACAGGCCTGACTGCAGCTGCTGGGGGCCCAATGGGACTTTCAAGGTGACAAGCCCTTCAAACAGACTCTGTTCAGAAATTTCGCCATTCTAAGTTTCTTGTCACTTGGTAAACATAAACACGTCAAGTTAAACAGTGTTTCAAATGTTTTCGTTGCCCATATGAGCCGATATTCAGTTCGGGGCACAAGTCATCCATCAGGCAGCGCGCACTTCAAGGAAATATCCTTTTACAATCAGCTAGCTTGTTTCTCACAGCAAAAACACAACACAGAGCAGCAAAACCTATGACTACACATGTCATTGAGCTAACTGACGCTGCTGAGCCGAACTGCAGAGGAGGACCGTTTGACTTATACTACAACCTACTTTTTCATTGATTGGCTGAATGTCACCGCTCGTAAACCACGAGGTGTTAAATTAGCAGAAATGTGGACGGAGTCTGGCTGTTTCTGTTTCATTGTGGTCACCGGGGAGAGGCCGAGGGACACTGAAGGAATGACGGGTTTAATAGATGAGGATAAGCACCTTTATTTGGCCAAGTATGTAGAGAGATAACTGAGGCCCTGTCAGACAGACAGACTGGCCCACAGACAGACAGCCTACCTCCTCCAGGATGCTGACGGTGTTCCTGCAGCTCAGCAGCCGGGTGGTGAAGCTGGACGTGGTGGGAGAGTTGTAGTCTTCGGTGGTCTCCGACAGGAACTCACACACTGAGATTTGATCCGGCATCATTAACACACCAGAGACAAAAAATAGGCGAGAACCGGAGAGACACCCCGACGCGTTCAGGGGCCTGCTGCAGATGTTTTCCACAGCTGGTCTCAGATCAGATAAGACGTCCTCCGAGTGTCTCTCATCAGTCTTTCTCCTGATGATTCATCCTCCTCCTACCTGCCGTCAAGTCACACAGGGTGCGCCACATGCCCCCACCGGATCCTTTCAAAGTACAAGCCCCGGAACATCAAGCACTGAAGGTCTGTATACACACAGCGGAGGAAATTGACAAGTCATGCTTGTGAGGAGGAAGCAATAAGAGATATTTCAGCTGCAGCCTTACTCGACCAAATAAAATGTCCAAACAATATTCCAACATGTCAGAACTGAAATCAAATAGCCAAAGCACTGAATGTTTTTCATGCCACATGTGCCTTCATATTTTTGCTGTTTTATGTGTTATGTTCCAAATCAGGTTTTTCATTAGCTCTTGGTTCCTTTAAGCTACAAATTCTTTTAAAGTTGTATTTTTTTAAGTTATGTTTTGGGGTGTATTGCCTTTATTACTTTTCGTTACGAGTACAGTAGGATGCTGAGAGGCAGACAGAGGAGTCATATTCGGCTATCAGGGCACCCCTAAACTTGTTTTAATGTCATAATGTCTCAGTTGTTTTAAGTATGCATATGCTATCATAGAAAATATAGACAAGTTTACAAATTAAAGACCCAGGTCAATAGTTTAAGTATTAATTAAATTGTTTAAAAAATCTCAAAATAAGAAAATAAGTCAGTGGTATGAGTGTTTATTTAAAAATCACTGCATAACTTACACCAAGATATTACTCTCTGGACAAATGTCAGATGAACAGGTGAAAATGAACATTTTACTGGTAGTGAATCTGACCCTGTGAAGGTTAAATGTGTTAACCTGCATTAGTCAATCATCATTTATTCTGTATAATAATGTTGTTTGTGAAATGTCAAAGCAAATGCTCAGTTTTTGTGTCATTGCAGAAATCCCATTATTTAACAATAAATTTTACCTGATGGTAGAGAGGAGTTTAACTTCGTGCACATATTCTGATATATTTCAGTTTATTTCAACCACCAATTCTTCATTAAATTTAATACACACCTGATTTTATTTTAATCAATCCAGCAGTTTAATACACAGTAACATGTAATTTTACCAAGCTGCACTAAAGTATGGTTTATTTTTTATTGCAGTTGTAATATTTTTAATGCTTTTTATTTTAAGGTTGACCATGTACTTATTTGTATTTAAACTTATTTCAGATTTTGTTTTGGCTACCGACTGCTTGGTCCTGCAGTGACACTGCATCCTTTATTTTGAAGGACAAACTATAACATCCGGTATATTCCCACCTCTTGACACTCCTTCAGGGTGTGCTGCTAATGGAGGGTGAGTGCGCATGCGTGACAATGCAGGCTCATTATAAAGAACTGAAAAGCAACATAAGCAAAAAATATTGATTAAATACTTTCAATGTGTCTACTGTGATAAAAGATTAATTTGTTAATATCATCATGATCACAAGATTACTCTCTTTTTACAGGATGAATATTGAGGATCTCGTACTAGTGTTTTGCGTTTAACACGAATATAACTAGTGAGGAAACCGGGCAGGAGAATACATTAAATAAATCGGGAACTATTCATGTCATCATAATGAGATTAGCCTGTTGAAGGCTGATCAGTGATCAATACTGAGCATTGTGAATGAGCCATGATATTTGATCTGTGTACACAGGCAGTAGAAGTAGGGCCTGAAAACTTTAGTTACTAGACAGCTCCCGACTCACCAGGGGTTCCAAGATCAGAACCTTGGACAGTTACCATGACATGCTGCAAAATCTTTTAAAAATTATTCAGCTCAGCTCACTGAACAGGACGACAGTGGGATACTAAGCCAGTTGAATCAATTGATCATGTTCAACAGGTATACAATTGGACAGTAATGACCTTTCCAGTTTACTACTGTTTTGTTTTGATCAAGAAGTCTCAGTTAGATTGAGTCACAACCCTAAAAATGATAGGGCCAGGTTTTGACACAACCAGCTGGAAAACAGGATCAATCTACCTACAGTCCTGAGGAGGGCATAATAACATTTTCTTAATTACACATGCAGCAGGTCAGCTAATGAATTTACGTCCAGTATTCACTCTCTTTTCCATCTGGTTTTTTTTTTTACCTTAATCCTGACAAAAATATCTGTCTTTGAATTTATTTAGTGCAGAGTGGGCATTACAGTAGATTATTAGAGGTTTTTTCCCCCCTGATATTGTAGTGAAACAAAACAATTAAGTTCTGTTATTGCTAACATTTTGTTGCATGGAGAAGAGATACATGTTCTCAGCTATTAAAGTAAGAGTGAAAGAGCTGTTATAAATGAACACAGTAAGACATACACCTCAATTGAGCTTATTATGGTCAAACATTGTTTTATTTATACATTATCCAACATAGAAAATAGCATACATCAGATTTATATAATAAAGTAAAGAAGAGTTCCTCATTCACAAGATATTTGGGGTATAACTGAGAAAGAACTTCAAATTTCTGCATAGTGATTTATGCTACTTTAGCTGACTAACAAGTCTTCTTACTTCTTATCTCCTTGAGTTCCCCGTGGAACAAAGGGCCTCAACAACAGCTCTCCAACGCAGTCTATTCTGGGCAGCCTTTTTCACTTCACCCCACGACAGGTTGCACTTCTTCATTTCCTCTTCACAGGATCGTCTCCATGAAAAAAAAAGTGTGTGTGTGTGTGTGTGTGTGTGTGTGTGTGTATGTATATATATATATATACATACACACACACACACACACACACACACACACACACTTTTTTTTTCAAGTGAATGGCATCTTTTATTGTTCACAAAATTACTGGTCTAATTCACATTTTTAAAATTACACCGAGACCTAAAATAGGAAGGGATTTTATTACTGCTATATTACTGCCAATCAGTAGGGATTGTTTGAAAAATCAAAAACTGTGATGAATGGTCTGAGTACTAGTCACACTCGGACATCTCACTTTACATCAAAATACCAACCATGTGGCTGATCACAGCCATGTAGGTCACCGAAGTACAGGAAAAGCAAAAAACATGTTTTGATTCATTCAGTTCAAAGTCCCTTAATTTGGCTGATGGAAAAGCTTACATTTGAGGAGCAGTATTTCCACAACATTAACAGACTTGTGATGAACTTGTACAGATCCTTGGTGTTCAAAACTGCATGCAGGGCTTTTAGAGCACTGCACTGATGTTACTGAGCTAATTGCCTCATATGGCCTGCTTTCATGTCTCAGACTAGGACAGCAGGCTTCTAAACAGGATTATGCCATGAAGACGGCTTTGTTAGCAAGAGTCCAGGGCCTCAGGCAGTGCTTCTCTGAAAAGGATTCAGGGAGTGACAGGCTACACATGGAAGTTAGTCTCACAGCGACTGATCTGGACATCAGTCATAGATAGGTAGGTGGTCCTCATACTGGGTGAATACTGCAAGGGAAATGAGTGACAAAGACAATTTAGTACATTTGTATTTAAAACAACAGCATCATAAATTATCAACAAGTGAAATGTCAAAATGGGGAGCACTTGGTTTTATTAGGAGCTGCTTTTTGATTAGGAGGTTGTTGAGTCAGGAGATGGGTACTCTAATGTCACATGGAGGTGAAGAGCAGACTGAGGGCATGAGTTAGCGGTCACAGAATAAGTTACACCCACATGTAAACACTGCAGATACAACAGTGGCCGAAGGTCAAAGGTGACACAGCTGAGATACCGTATAGAGCTTTATCAGTGTGGCTTTGGGTTATATGTCAAAACATCCTGCATAGCAAGCATTATTAATGTCTCTTTCATGAAGTGAAATGAAAATTGGATCAAACAAATGAGAAACAAGCTAGACAACAGAAAACTTACTGTTTTTAAAAGTCTGAGTCAGAATGAAAAATGAAAACATGGGTTAGGTGCAAGCACTGGTTAATAGTCAGCAGTTGGAAAACTTATTGTGCATCTGCTTACATAAGCAACACATACTGCAGAGCCAGTTCACAAAAGCAAAACAAAAAATAAACAATGTAGATTCTTACACTGCAGTATGGTTAGTGCAGGATACTGCAAATACTGTCTGGCTAAAAAGTCACACCTGTACAGGGTCCTAATAATCTGACCCTCTCTTGTATATAGATGGTGAGGACAAAAATATAGAGACACCTCTAAATACAATGTATTCCAATACAAAACCACCTTTAACTATGACCTCAATAATAAACATATAATTGAATTTATACATTTATGACAATTTCACCACAAATTTCATTTTGAGCTCAGATGTTAAGGCAAGACGTGTTGCACTAAAGTGTAAGGTGCAACTTTTAATTTGGCCAGGCAATGTGTCTTTTCCAAAGTTTGAAGAATGTTACACATATAAATAAAGAGACGTGCCAGTGCCAGTTAAAAATGTGTGTCACAGTGGCAGTGACACTTTTTTTTTTTTTTAAATTATGCTCATTCCCTCTTTCTCACCCTCAAAAAGTGTTTTGAGCCTTTGGTGCATTGTAAATGTCATTCAAGCACAGAATGAGAAAGAGAAAATGCAACAGAAGAGAAACTCCATCTAAAACAAAGAAAAAAAACTGGATTTTCCACTGATATCTGTTATTTTGCTCCAGCTCTGGAGGTAGACCAGACACTTATGACTATGAGAGCTACCATTATTATCTGATGTGAGGATGAGCAGTCAGCCATATACTTTCTTTATTCAACCCTAAACCATGGTTATTTTAAACATACATAAATGGATGACTTAACAATTTCTTTATAAAACTGAGAAATAATATCAAAAGCAGTGGTGAAAATGATTTGAGCATAGGCTTATAGCTCAATAGTAAGAGTATTTGGCACTTATCTAAAACTGAATGCAGTTCAGTCACTGGCCATCAGAGAGCAGTCTTCGATCACTTGTGAAGCAACATAACTCACTAAATGTTCACATTGTAAGGTTGTGTACATTGGGAATGTATTGTTTGGTCATTGTGCTGCCATGCATCTGTTGTAGCAGGTCAGTAGGGCCATTATCATCATCACAATAGGGATAGTAGAGCCTCGTAGGGCCAACACACCGAGGGAGGCGGGGATCCTCTCCCTATCAGTGGCACGTTCTCATATCGAGGACTCCCTCCAAAAAGCATGGACTGATTCCTATGGCAGAAATGGTAAGAAATGTGATAAGTGATGAAACACACAATTACAAACATGTACTGTTATCATTTATTTATCTTACATGTATTCAGGAGGTGGCATGGTGCAGGAAGCAGCTTGTGGTGGTGGATGAAGGCTGGCCTGGCTGGAAAAGCTGCTGGTGTTGCTGCAGAAACTGTGGATGTCGGACCTTCTGGGGTTGTAGGATATCCTTCGTGCTTGAGGGTTGAATGGGTCTTCCTCATCTATGTCGTCATACTCCTTGTCCCTGGATGAAAGTGGCACACCGACACAAAACAAAGACAAAAACAGAGAGAGTACACATCTTAACACTTTACAGGAGTGCAGTGTGGGCAGTATATAATAGGATAAGGGGGTTTCTTGTGGCTGACCTGCTGCCCATTAGTGTCCACACTCGGAAAATAGCACACAACATGGAACAGAGTGCACAGCCAGCCAGCAGAGAAAACAAAGAGAGGTAGAGAAGCCCTTCCACCCCATCATAGCACACACCCATTAGGGCATATAGGTAGTCCTAGACAGACAGACACAATATGTATATATAATATAGTCAGTTATTGTCAGTGTTCAGTGAAAATATTACTTTTCACAAATAACGGTCATGTATGTACTTTCAGACATAACATCAATCTATTATTTGTGCATATCTATAATTCTAATCCAACAGAGATTAAATACTTAAACTGAAGTAAACAAAAAGTACCCAACACTGATGGGAACATGGAACTCATATATAATCAAAACCACTTGATTAGGGCACTCTTTGGTGATATTTAACTGACTGTCATAAATTCTCAGGAGGCTTTGCTAATCCTACATCTGTCTGAAAACATGGTTAAACCTATTTTTAATCTTAATCATACCCTAATGAAGACACAAACCAGCTATTTATGATGAACAACTATGAGTCATTTCCTAACACAGGATCATGCAGAGCAGGGAAGAGTTTTGTCTATATGGGGGCGACTGTGGTTCAGTGGGTAGAGCAGTTGTCTCCCAACCGGAGGATCGGAGATTCGAATCTCGGTGCCTGCAGTGTGAGTTGGCGCTGCGGATGGCTGCCTCAGTTCTGTACCGGAAACATATTTCTTGTGTGTAACATACTTGGCCAGTAAAGGTGATTATCTTTACTCTTATTATGTGATTACATACTGAATTAACTTGAAAAATAGTATAAAGGTAAAGTGTGATCAAGGCAGAACCATGAACCATGAACAATGCCACATCACTATCTCCATTGCAAATTTTGTCTTTGTGCTTTATTAACAGAAAAAGCAACTGCAGCCTTTAACAGATGTCTTGTTATTATCATACATGGTAACAGAGGTGACATTTTAAATCCCACCACCACCACTTCAGCCTTGATGTGACATACACGGCACCGCTGTCACCCACTTAACCTTTTGTCACACCTACATGAAGTATTAACTATTAGAAATGTCACAGGGGGGGCTCCCTCAATTAATCTAAAGGGCTACATCTGATATTGCAATCAGAGCTGCAAAAAAGACTCATTTCAGCATCATCTTATTTTCTAGATATACAGAGTACTGACAATGGCAATGGTAGTGAGTACACAGAGATAAGTACAGAGAAATAAGGCTGAAAATCAGTCAAGCTGGCCCTCTAAGTGGCTTTGAGCTATGCTACAAATCACCCACTTTAAAACGTGTCCTGGTTGGATTCTGACCTTACCTTATGTAGCCCACGGCAGTCAAGCAAGGCTGTTAGCTGGTGTAGACTGAACTCAGTGGAGTTCAACAGTCGCTGGATCCCCAAAAGGTCTCTCTGTGTAACAAGGTATAAAAGGGGAAAGAATGACACACAGCTCTACACAGTTTGGTGTAATAGTCTGTCAGTCAGCCACTTACCTCAGCAGTGGGGAAGACAGGCACAGAGAACTGCAGCAAGCCCTGGATCTGGATTTGTGTGGTGGTCAGTGAACGCTGGCAGACTGTCAAAGACTGTGAAAACACAATTGCCCACCACCATCACACACACAGACATCACCACAAACAATCAGGGGATCATGTTAAGGAGAGCATTGTTTGGGAGCAGCGTGTCAAAAAGTAATTTGGTGTTAAGTAAGGCTTTATAATGCGCTTAACATAAGACACATTTCATTCCAGACAATAGGCCAAGATTATCCTTCAACATCAAGCATCTCACCCACCAATCAGTGTCCCTCCTCCCATTTCAACCACCCAATCTTAAGCACAAACAAAAGAGCAATATTTATAAGGACTAGGCTCTCAGAGAAAAAAAGATTATCCTTACCTACATAACAAGCACTGTTTTAATCCATAAAAGGATATTGTGAACATAATTAAGCATTTGGGTTTTAATAATTACTAGTCATGGATTTAGCCTCTGTGAATCTGCTCAAAACATAGCACACAAGTACAGTGCTGCTCATGTGAAAACCTCACAGTATACAAACAATATAATATATAAGAAGCAGCTGGATCACACTAGATTAAATTAAGCTTGAAATGCCTCCATACATGTGTGCGGTGGGAAAGTGAAAGAAAATCTCTGTCAGCACTCTCAGAGTGCAGTCGTTGGGCTCATTTCTATAGTCACTTTTGAGGTCATTTTTAAACCTGCAATAAATAACCTCTTTGGAGCATGCTAGGTGTCTCCATGAAAAGTGACATGCAGTAAGTGATAGGCAGAAATAACTCAGCACAAGACAATTTGTCTGTGTATAGTACACTTGCTCTCTTATTGCATGATATATAATAAACTGAATAACTAAAAATATGGCCAGCAAGAAAATTATGCACAGAGTAAAAGATATGGCTAATTTAGAATATGCTTTAATCAAAGTTGATTAATTTAGGTAATTGAATTAGCGATGGGGGATCAGTTTTCAGAACAGCCTCTTAAGGCTAGATAATAATCTAGCTGCCTAACTACAATAGGAAAAAGTCATTTTAAAACAGCAATACAATTTTCAGTGTGGGTGTCTCAGTACATAACTATATGTGTGGACTTTTAGTCAATACCTGCTGGAAGGGGTTTGGCAGATTCGGACTGCAGAACAAATAATAATGAGCAACATCTGGAGGATGAGAGAAATTGGCAGAGACAGAGACAGATTAGCATTGTGCCTTAACCATCAGTGACAGAGCTGGTATTTGTACAGTTCTGTGTGTAGGCAAATTACCTGCACTAAGGAAATCCTTGGTTTGGTTGACAATATACTTGTCTGGAGACACACAGAAGTCACTGGTGCCCTGTAGGAAAACAACAACACACTGTGATTGTCACTATGCAAGAAGAGTGCAGTATTTATTCAAGCCAAGAATCAGATCCAATTTCTTGTGCTGCAACTGAGTAAAACTGATTTTACACAGGGTAATCAGTCGGGAATACAAACCATTTGTTTTACATCTTTATCAAAGCATAAAAAAGGTGGCAGGTCTTTATCACCATTTATGTCGCAGCAAACCTTAGGCTTTATTGAAAATGCAGAGCATGTTGTGCTTTGCTAACCACTGATAAAGTCCACTAAATATTTTCATGCATTGTAATTAATCTGTGCAGAGCTGCTAATGTGCATGCATAAACAATTAGGGGTCAAAGTTAGACAGCCTATGTGCACTTAGCCTTCCCCACAACATTAAAGTACAGTACCATTTAAAAGAAAACAGGCAAATAAATAAATAAATAAATGGAATAATTTGTCATGCACACGCATAATTCACAGCTGGTGGAAATAACAGGCTACTGTTCAAAGTTCAGAGGGATCAAGAAGTTGTGATGCAGAGTCAAACATCAAACAGAATAAAAGCCTCATGCAATTTATTCAGAATATAGTCTTGTGTCCTGTGCTTTTCATCTCAGCCCCAGTCAAAAAGTATATTTTAACAGCTTTTCATTGTAAAGCTCAACTCTAAGGACTTTAAAGTGCAAAATCTCTTCAATTTAACAAACCAATGATCAATAAAAATCAAACGGTGTACAAGAAAGACACAAAAAAAACCCAATTTGGATTACAACCATAAAGCAAGCACAAGAAACATAACAGACCAGCTTAACCTTCATACTCTCATTCTGTAATAAGATTTAGCCCCAGGTTATCAATGCAACCATGAATGAGACTGCAGTCGGGTGGCATTTGTTTTCAGCACCGGGTCACTGCTGCTACTACACGTTACCCTTAATCTCGATCCCATTGTCTCGGTGGGGACATTTTGTTCACGATGTGTCTCATCCATTATGTACAAATTTATGACCATTTTTCTAGGACACCACCATCTTTCACCTTACTTTCAAGATGCACTATGCCGTTTTGAATAATGCTGCACAGGTGCAACAAGTGCACTTGCTTGTTTTGCTTAATGACTCACATTATAATTCTATTACTGAAGACCACGCTTTTCTGTGTGAAGAACTAGCCTACATATTAATGATTAGGCAGGTAAAATTATTGAGCAAATTTACCTCAGCTCATCTGTGACATAATCAGACAGTGACAGAGAGAGACACACTAGAAACAAGCTTTACTCATCTATTCTGGATAAGATGGCCAGAGAGGTCAAAGGGTTTAATACAGGATTATGTTCTACTATAATGACCAGAACTAAGCCACAAGCAGTCCAAGATATTGGTAATCTGGCTTTACAACTGCAGAGACACTCACCACGACAGATGTCTGCATTTCACACTCGTGTAATTAATATCAGGTTAAAATCAGCTGTCTCACTTAAAATAGCTGTCCAGATGCCAAATCCTGTGGGATAATCCACAGATGCAAGGTCACTCTACAGGAAGCGAGGAGATCAAGAAGTAACGGCCGGATAAAGGAAGGCTGGAAGCAGGGTGCTACTCTTTGTATCCCAGACAATGTCCCTAATACCAGCTCTATTAAACACACAAAACCCAGATGTGCTGAGCACATGGTGCACAGACAGGAAGGGAGAACAATCTGCCAGAAATAGGAGGACTGAAAGAGAAATAAAGCTGAGCACAGTGTAAGAAGGGATTGTGAATAAAGGAAGGCTAGCAATTAATGCTTGAAACTGTTTTATTTACAATGGTCGGGCTGGTAGGTTCATTAACCTAAAAGGCTGGGGATTTGTAATCAGCTTTACTGCATCACTTAACATAGAAAAACACCCACTGTGAACTAAACAAACAGATAAACACACTTTTGAAGCAGGAGAGGTTTCCAAGGACACAATTCTTGACACTAATGTTCTTGGGAGTAGTTGCATGAATTGGGGATCTAAATAGAAGAAACATCATTGTCACCTATCTGTAGATAGATAGATAGATAGATAGATAGATAGATAAGAATAAAGTATGACAAAAATGTAAACATTTGTTCTCACCACAGCTGTAGCAATAGCTGCTCCCAGCAAGGCCCAGCTCAGGATCAGAGACAGTACTACAAAAGCCATGATCCTGGAAGAAAACAGCAAATGGGGGTGGAGGGGTGGGGGGTGATAATGGAGAAACAGACACATGGAGAGAAGGGTCTTCCCATTTCCACTCATTTAACTCATTTTACTCTGTTCAGCTTTTGCTTAGATTATTCTCCTTCCCAGAAGAAGCTCAACTCATACATATATGTTTGGCTGATGCAAAAGTTCAGCAGAGGTCTTCCAAGGCCAAAACATAAGATAATATTACTGGGAGACTGGGGACTTTTCATCTATCTTTTGTCATTTCTGCTCTGCTGGATTCCACTGGCAACATTTTAATTGGCTGCCCTTTCTGTCAATCATAGATGCATTAGGTGCCAATCCCTGTACTCAGTCACTGTCAAAAGCTGCCACATGCTTTTGTTTGTAGCCTTCTTGTTCCCCCTGCCCTCCTTTGCCTGAAAAGAGTGGTGACTTCAACAGGGTCTAGATATTGTGGAGGTGGTTCCTGATAAAAGCATCAAAAAATCTCCCCATTAACAACCACAATTTTTTGTGACCAATGACTTAATCTGAAAAAGTGCTATGAGTGCGAGGAGACAAATCAAGTGAAAAGAGAACAAATGGCAACGTGATGGATGTAAAAAACGGTGCAGAAGGCTCCACTTCTCAAATCACTCCTCTGACCTTCTTGAAAGCACCGATAAAGTAGCCTGAGAGCACTTAATAATTAGTTAAGCGAGCAGAGCCGGGCGATCAATAGGCATTAGTGAGACCCAGAAGAGGAGACTGGGGAAAGCAGTCCTGGGCATCATCTGCTAATACTGACACATAGGCTGCACTAAATTGAACACATGAGATAGGAAGTCTGGACTGTGGATTTAGCTTGTCAGGCATCAATGTTGGTTTAAATTACTGACTTCAATTTACTAAATCAAACATACAGTATCTCCTCCTACTCTAATTCCTTCAGAGCTTTGGAATATAAACATCTATTCTTTTGTTTAGAGAAGAAAGCACCATCTAGAAGGAGCAGCTACGAATTTGACAAACTGGTTTGATTCAGAGTAAATCTAAGCCTGATGCTAAAAGTTTACTTTTAATTGTTCATGGAAAAAACAAAAGGCAAGTCATTGTAGAGAGGAAAAGCCAGCGCCACTGTCAGTGTTATCTGCAGATGTAACGCCATTAATGTTGTTGTTAATGGACTGACCTAGTGTATATGGTGCCAGAGAGGCTGAGCAGAGAGCAATGCAAAAAAAGATTGACCTCAAGAAAGAAATGGCCTCAGAAGCAACATAAAATCAAATGCTGCACTTCCATACACATTCAGGATACCTACATGATGAATAGCCATCGAGACTGCTTGGCCATCCCCAAGCACATGGCCAAACAGATGACCAGATCCAGGATCAGCAGCAGCAGATATGTCAGCCATCTGCAAGAAAAGTAGGAAAGTAAAGCACCAGCATACCAATCCTGATGATCACTTTCACTTACAGACAGCCTAATTAATGCACACGTAGGAGCCTTATGAAGTGCTGGCCCCAGCATATGTTTGAGACTAGATGTGCCAGGTCTGTGTGTGTTGGTTATCAGCATTCTTATCTCCTCGTTAGAGCCCATCTGTTTCAGGTATAATTTCCAGCCTGTTGTCTTAATAATTCAGAACCACAAATTCATAGACATGAATTTTTCAAGCTCTGAAAATGTC